CGCTATAGGGCGCATGTGCTCACCAGACAGACAGAGAGAGACATAGAGACAGAAAGCGAGAAATCACCCCCCGGGGGGATGGTCACGACACAATCCTTCTCCTCTCAGGATTTTGGGCACACATGCACACATGCCCGGCGTGAGTTTTAAGCCACTGGGTCCGGGACGTGAACCGCGGTTGACTACGTGGTAGTCCAGCAACATAGCCATTATGCTAACTGCTGGTTCCCTTTTTTTTTTTTTGCACTAGGAAAAGCATGTGACAAATGTATCAAGACTTCAAAGGGCTATCCCTTTGGAAAGCTATTCTAGAAATGGAATCTTATTGCCTATTTGGGAGGGACATAAGATTAGCATGAGGGGAAGAGATGAGAGCAGAGGGGCATTATCTAAAAATGGCTTATTTTCCAAAAATTCTAAATGATAATGTGATTTTAAAAAAGATCTTAGTGGAAAGGATTGGAAGTAGTGTAAAAGCAAAACACAGAAGTTAAAAAGAAACTAGCCTGTCTTCGGTGCTCTCTTTATCACCAAGCACTGCCCAGTCTCTCACTGGACAAGCCATGGGCTCCCTCCCTTTATGGTAGAATATCTATAACTTCATAGATTATTGCCAGGACTAGGATGTCTTCAGTGATGATGCCTGGGACCTCTGCAATGATAGGAGATGACTCTGGGCCCAAGGTCATATTGATGGATTCCTGAATAGTAAGGACAGTTCAGCTGACAAGAGGCATCAGCCAAGTGGGAGCTCTGCTTCCCTAATCCCAGCTGTGGTGGTGTTCAAGACACCATTACTACCCGAAGCTTCCTCTTTTGCTGATGGAACATTTGGAAAACACCCCATAGTAAACTGCAGGAAGACAATGGTACATGAGAGAAAGTCACAGAGAGAACTATTGGGTTGTCAGGAAAGTCATGATGCATTTTTACATAGAAAAAAAAAAAAAAACAGAAAAATACCTCATGACTTTCCCAACACAGAGGACATTCTCTTGTAGCTCCCAGAATTATTGGAGAGAAATGTTCAGGGACTTGAATTCCCTGATCAGATGGGAACAGAACTGGGGAAATACTCCTAACCACTAATAACATCATATTCTTAACCACAGGCAAGCAAGGATAAGAAATCCTTGCTAACAATACTTTTGCCTGTATGCTACTCCTCTGAACTCAGCCCTTTGAAGAAAGAAAAAATATTGTTTAGCATTTCTACCTGAAATATTCAAATACCACAAACAGCTCTGGTGTCCATCAATAGATGAATACACAAACTATTACATACTCATATTTATACATCAGAATACTACTAAGTAATAAAAAGGAGTGACCTATTGACACATGTAACAACATGGCTTGTCTGAAAGCTGTTTTGGGGCTTGTTTAAAGGTTTCACAATATCTTTGTAAAATATTGGGTTGTCAGAAATTTATGATGCATTTTGTATAGAAAAGCATAGAAAAAAATACATCATGATTTTTCTGACAACCTAGTAAAATGATGCTTGGG